TCAGAGGAGTCACCATGCTAAGGGGTTGAAGCTGACCGATGAGATTAAGTGATCAGGCACGAGACGAAGAAGCTAGAGACTGCTCTATGGACAACCAAACCTCCCGTGATGTACCTCGTCCAACAACGAGGTGCATGACTTCTTCGGAGAGTGATGAAATCAGCATTGACATCAATGCTTTGTCGTGGCAATACCACACGACATGGGCCGGGTTTGGTTGTGGTTCGCTGTCGGTGACAACCGGCAAGAAGGTCGGCAGACATGGGTTAGTCTCATTAATAAACCTCATGAGCCAGTGCCCCCCAAAACAAGAAATTTTGTGGGTAAGCTTAATATTAATAAAGTGATGAGCAATAGAAAGCGAATTGACAGTCATAGAACTGGAGGAAGTAATGGTAGCATCAGAAATGGTCTGTTCAGAGGAGTTAATAGATATGGTGTGGGGGGGGGGGGGGGGGGGGAGGGGGTGGACCTAAGGCTTCTATTTTATAGGCTTGGCTTAGAGAAATAATCACCTTGTAGCAATTAGGCCACAAAGGTGTTTCTATCATAATTATTCGTTGTTGAGTAATGGCTAAGTTCTGCAAATTTGCAAGGAATTTGAAGAATAATTATGGATTTAAATCACTGATAATGACAAAACGGTTCAAAGAAATGTAAAAATTGAACACTTCTTGGGATACACACCCTAAAACTAGCCTAGGAATATTTCTAAGCGAATTGATAGTCATAGAGCCAGAAATTCGATTGAGGGGGGCGAAGGAGTACAGACAGATTTAAAAAAAAAATTCTAGTAAAGGCAAAACATTAAAACAAAAGAGATAATTTTTAAAAAAAAATACCTAAGAAATATAGTTGTAAATATTGTTGGATATGTGCGAAAAATAAAACACATTGAAATTTTATAAAAAATATTCATAACAAAATATGAAACATAATTAATTTGATACAATAATTTGAATAGAAAACACATTATAAATTTCACATCTCATTATTAATATAAAACAAAGCTATATATATATATATATATATATATATATATATATATATATATATATATATATATATATATATATATATATATATATATATATATATATATATATATATATATATATATATATTAAAAAATCTATTAAAAACGTGATTGTGTTGAAGTCATATTAAATATTTAAAAAGGTATTAAAAACGTGACAATGTTGAAGCCATAAGGGGAATGAGTCAAAAAACTATAAAACTATATTGATATCAAGGATTCAAACCCTTGACATTTAATTGCTAAACATATGCTTTATCGATTAATCTAACTCATTTCTTATTAACATTTAACAGTTTTTTTATACTAATACTAAAACATGTACTATATATACATATATGCATACAAAAATTATATATGGGTGGGATGGAGTGGGGTGAGGGGGAAGCTATCCCCTGCCACTTTGGCTCCGTCCCTCACTACACACTTTTTTTTTTTTTTTTTTTAACACTAAATGCATATACACAAAGGTTTAGCATTACATCAATCATCAATGTTACGTTATTAAAGACAAACAGTCACTTAATCGCACCCATGAGCACTAGTGGGGGGCGTGTGAAGGGTCCGTTTATCCCCTTGAATTATTTATTTATTTTTGAAAAAATAATACTTTTTCCCTTGAGTTATATACTTATAATACTTTTTCTTTCTAAATTATTCAAGTGGCTATTTTTTGCCCTGAAATGTTAAATGAACATATTTACCTTTAAAATAAATATTTCATTTATTTTTCTTCTCCAACAAATTATGATCCACGATTTGGTTCAAATCGAACAGACACTATAACAACCAAACTGAAGTATTCTAATTACAATTTAGAATCGAAATCCGATATTTAGAGTTTATTAAAATCGCGAACCAAAACGGTCAGTTCATGTTCCGAACTGAACAAAATACATTTATTGTTGAATTTAGATTTTTTTAAAAAAAAAAATCAAAATAAAGACGGTTCAAAATCCGAACCGGATCTGGAACCGCCGGTTCACGGGTCATGATATGTTTTTTTTTATTCATAATTTTAATAAACTGAAATCCAAACCGGATCTGAATCGTAATCGCAAACTTTCAATTTGATTGCTATTGTGTCGTAATCGCAAACTTTCAAACTTTCAATAAATAAAATGTTACTCTAAGGGTAGAAATATCAATTTAATATATAATGGGAAAATCGCCATTTTTAGAATATTTGAGGGGACTAATATGCTTACATTAATAATTCAGAAGGAAAGTATGCTATAAACATATAATTCATGAGGAAAAAGTGTCATTTTCACTTTATTTTTTTTTTAGTATGAGCTAGTTTTTTTTTTTTTTTTTTTAATATATATATGTGGTGCTTTATTAGAAATATGTCGAAATAATATCAGGTGGGAGAAGATCCCAGTACATAGCAACCGATTGCTGAGTATGAGCTAGTTAAAAAAATAAATTGTAAATATATAATACTTTGTTTTCGTTTCTGCTGTGAAGTGTTGTTAAGCAAAATTCCTTCATTACACAACAAGTCATATTGTATGTGCTGAATTTATTAGTTCCCTTCTAATTAGTTCCCTGCATGTTTTAGGGGAACCCAAATTCTATCCATATGGCTTGATGGCTTCTACCTCTTCTGTTACTGCTTCACAATCAATCCATGAATGGGCTTACGATGTTTTCTTGAATTTTAGAGGTTCAGATATTGACAAGATTTTTGTAGATTATCTTTACACTTATTTAGACTTGAAAGGAATTCACACCTTCAAGGATTACGATCAAATGGAGGAAGGAGACTGTATCTCTCTGGCTCGACTAAAAGCTATTAAAGATTCAAGATTTTTTATCAGTGTCTTCTCCAAAGGCTATGCATCGTCAAAATGCTGTTTGGAAGAACTTGCAACAATGATGGAATGCCAAGAAAAGTTCAAAGAACAAATTGTGGTGCCAATTTTTTACGACGTGGAGCCTTCAGATGTCCGGAAACAGAAAGGAAGTTTTGGAGATTCGTTCAAGGAATTGGTTGAATTTGTGAAGGATGAGGAGGAGGAGAAGGTAAGAAGATGGAAGGAAGTGTTGAAAAAAGCAGGCTATCTCAAAGGGCATCATTTGCAGAGAGACTATAAGAGGTTTGCTTTCAACTTCCTCTTCTCATATGATTCATCTTTATGCAATTATACATACTTTTTTTTTTTTTTTTGGTGTGCGCTTAGTTTTTTATTTTATTTTTAATTTATATGCACACAGTGTAATGATTTAACACTATAATTAATGATTTAACACTATAATATTTAAAAGGAAAAAAAAAAAGTTGGGGTGTGGGGGTGGGGGGGGAGATGGGAACAATCTCATTCAAGTTGCTTTTCACTTAATTAGTTAACATAATGTTACAATTAAGTGAATTGACGTCCATAGATATTCATTAAGGAAACAAGTGTAACTTTTTTTGATGAACTGTGGAAATTTTATATTGATCGATCCATGTCATATATTGCTATATGAAGTTGGAGTACTAAAATTTTAAAATTATTGATGTTCAATCTTTTCAGACTTGATATAAAATGTGTACAAGGAGTTGCTGCCGACATATTTGCTCGATTGAATCAATCAAATCAGACATGGTCAGCCTTTGAAAACAACTTAGACGGGTTGAAATCTAGAGTTAACGACATTGGTAACTGGTTGAGATCGGCTGATGATGATGCTGCTAGGTTTATTGGTATTTGGGGTATGGGAGGTATCGGTAAGACAACAACTGCAATGGCGGTCTTTAATAAATTTTCACTCCAATTTGATAGAGCTTATTTTCTTCCCAATATTAGCCGACATAAAATCATTGAATTGCAAAAGTCCCTTCTAGAAGCAATACTAGAGGTGAAGATAGGAATAAGTGATGAGTTTGCTAGAATGGAGATGATAAGGAGACGGCTTAGACGGAAAAAGGTTTTGATTGTTCTTGATGACGTAAACAAGGTGGAACAATTAGAGAAATTAGCTGGACGTCGAGATTGGTTTGGTATGGGTAGTAGAGTGATTATAACCACAAGAGATGCTGGAGTATTGAGTTCTCATGAAGTTGATGAAGAGTATATATACCAAGTAGATATATTGGAAGAGCAGGAAGCTATTCAATTGTTTAGTTGGTATGCCTTTAAAAAGAAAATTTCTACAACTGAAATCGAAGAACTGTGTGGATCAATTGTGTATCATTGTAAGGGTCTTCCACTCGCCCTTAAATTGTTGGGGTCTTATCTTTGTGGACAAGAGGCTATTTACTGGAAAAGCATATTGGAGAAATTCAATGACGCTGACACCCTTCACACCCCAATAGATAATATTCATCGAGTGCTTAGGACAAGTTTTGATAAACTAGATTGTAAACTTCAAAAATTTTTTTTACATATTGCATGTTTTTTCAGACACATGACGGTAAAATATGTAATAGATGTGCTTGAAAGTTGTGATTTGCATCCAGCCTTTAGTAGTATGCTTGTGCTCATTCAAAGATCTCTGATATCAATTGTGGAAAGAAGAAGAATTGGGATGCACGATCTAATCCGAGATGTGGGTTGGCATATTGCAAGAGAGGAGAAACCTAGGAGCATGGTATGGGAGTTGGAGGATGTTGTATTATTATTATACGGAAAAATGGTAAGGCATATATTTCATAGTAAGATGTACCAAAATTAGTTAATTAAAATAATGATATCATTGTGTGGTTTCTTAATTAATTATTTCCTAGATTATATTACTCTGTGGTCTAATTATATTCCTTCCTAGCTAACAAATAAGCTAACTTAGCTTGAAGCTTTCTTTTTGATATTGCATTAGAAAGATTGAAGTGTGTACTATTTTATTTCTTCAATTCTTTCAGGACCCTGAACACATAGAATGTATGGCATTCCCCTATACATACAGATGTGACCTGGACAATGATAAGAATATTTGGGGTGCCTTTAAATCTTTGAAGATACTCATAGGTAAACGGTCATCGTCCATTGAAGAAGATAATAATTTTGACCATGTCATGGATGATTATCTTCCAAGTAGCTTGAGGTGGCTTCATTTCCCAGATTATCCTTTCCCTTCATTACCGAAAAGCTTTCATTCCTCTGGCATGGATAATAATCCCTCTCAGCTTGCTGGAGTTTATCTGCACTCTAGTTCTCTTGAAAATTGTAGGATAACTAAGGTATGGTAGATGATTCTAACCCGACTCACTACTTTGTGTTCATCAATTCTTTTTCTTAATCAAATAGCTTTATACTTATTTTATTCTCCATCTTCTCTGGCAGGAATTTAATGAACTTACCTATTTGAATCTTAGCTCTTCTTGCTCTTTGCTGGAAACTCCAAATTTTGATATGCTACCGAATTTGGAAAAATTATACCTTTCAGGTTGTGAGAAATTAAAAGAGATTCACCCATCTATTGGACATCTTGAGAAGCTTTTGATATTGGATTTAAGCAATTGCCGTGAGCTAGAGAAGCTTCCCTGCTTTGTTCGTGTTTTATCTCTTAAGCTTCTCAGACTTGAATATTGTGGAGCATTGCAAAATTTTCCAGAAATCCAGACAACTATGCAAGATATAGTGGAGCTGAATTTACAATCCATTTGGATTAAAGAACTCCCCTCATCGATCCAAAAATTACGTGGACTCACCAAGTTACGCTTGAGTAATTGTGGAAATCTTGTCCATCTTTCTAATGCCTTGTGTGAGTTGAAACGCCTTAAATTTCTTGGGCTTACATGTTGTGACCGACTAGAGTCATTGCCAGAAAACCTGGGCAACTTGTCAAAGTTGAAAGAGCTTCATGTAATTCACACTGCCATTTTTCAACTCCCATCTTCAATAACGCAGTTGAGCTCACTTGAATGCTTGTGTTGGGGAGGCAACCGGAAGTTCAAGAAAGAGAGAACTCTCAAATTTGTGCTTATTAGCAGTGAATCAGGTTTGCGCTCACTAAAAAGGCTACAGCTCTCTGATTTTAAAATCCCCAACGAAGGACTCCCTTCAGATCTTGGATGCTTGATCTCGTTAGTATACTTGAATCTACGGGGGAGCGACTTTGTTGATTTACCCGAAAGCTTCAGCCAACTCCCTCACCTTCAGTATCTTGACATCAGAGATTGTGGAAAACTTAAAGAGCTCCCAAAACTCCCACAAAGTACAAGACAACTGTATGCAGATTTTCATTTTGCCTCTAGAAAAAGCATAAAGGAGTTAGCACAGTGCCCAAAATTACATTCAGTTGCATTCTCTCATGATGATCAATATCACTGGCCGGAGCATTGTTTAGCTAAGATATTTATTCATTTTCCGTTTCATAGAAAGACTCCTTTCAGTGTTAGCTATCCAATCTATGTACGAGAGGATGAGGATCGTTACACCGAGGCCAATGTCTTGAGATTATTTCAATATCAATGCTATCAGTCAAATGGTATCTCTATTGATCTCAATTTCCTCTGGTATTGTCAAAACTTTGCGGGATTTGCTGTATATTTCCTCTCTTCCGGATATAATATATGGGGACCACACTTCTACAAGGATGGTGTTGAGCATTGCAGAGTCATAGCCAAATTGTCACACAAAGATCAGAGAAATAAATTTCTCAAAAGAGAATGTGTGATTGCCAATTCAACTTATGGATATGATAACAATGGAGGACACATATGCTTTGTCTACATACCATTTAGTAGTTTGTGGCCTGCAGAATCTAATACTGATATAAATAGTGTAAGCTCAAATGATTTTTCAAAATTTGAAGTGAACTTTATGATTTTGGAAGCCACTGCTGATTGGGGTTGTAGTTTGATATATAAAAGGTAAACATAATAATTTCGGTTGCCCTCCATTTATCATCTTTCTTGAACTTTTTAATACTCTGTACTACATATGTTACTTCAGTAGTAGTTATAAGTTTCCAATTTATTTTACTTCTCTTTTATTTAGGTCAATGAATTCATATCAAGCATGCTTATTTAAATTATTTGTTTAAGATTTAAAATCTTCAACAGATTGGAGTTACGAATTGTTATATACCCAAAAAAAAAAATAATAATAATAAACATATTGAGCTTGAAAATGATCATTTATTCCTTAAAATTCTGATTTTTTTTTAAATTTTTAATGCCACATATACTCTTTTATGTTCATTAGTTTTTGTGCAGTTTTCTTTCTTTCAGTTTTATATTTTATTTAGGCTAAGGAATTATATATGTCTCAAGAAATGTACAAACTTTTGTTGTTCTTTTAATTACTAAAAATAAAAAGATGTTTATACATTGTACTTGTGCTTTTCTACAGGGAGGCCGGTTCTAGTGAATGAGATCCAGGTACTCGTATACTTTACCCAAACTTTATAATATCATACATATTATTTTAAATTATATCACATATGTTTTTAGTGTTAATTTCATTTTTTATCTTAGATTTATATGTGTCCGATCACTTTGGGTTCTTTTTTTAAAAAAACATTCATGTTTGGTCCTAGTATTATTGTGTCATGACAATTTTTTATCCTCTATCTAGCATAAAATACAAAGTCAATTTGGTCTATTAAGTTGTAAGTGTTATGTCCTTTTGCTTTTTTTTTTTTTTTTTTTTTTTTTGTGGTCATAAATTTATATGCTTCATTTTATTCCTAGTCTTTTTTTTTTTTCTTCATAACATCAATGTTGGTCCTAACATTATTGTGGCATAATCATTTTGGTCATCCGTCAATAAATATGTTTAAATGACATTAAAAATAAAGTTATTAACAACTCAAAATGTTTACATGACATTAAAAATGAAGTTATTAACCACTCAAAATCCTCATTTTTTCTTCTTGGTAATCAAACTACAAGTCTTGTGAATTTTTATGAACTTATGTACTAGACTTAAGGTTTGCCATGAAGTAGACTTGTGATTTTTCAATTGCACTTAGACTTATATATTGATAACAATTTTATTGCCAAAAAGAAAAAAGAAAAAAAGGAAGAAGAGGATTTTGAGTGGTTAATAACGTGATTTTTAATGTCATATAAACATATTTGTTGACGGATGACAAAAAATGGTCGTGCCACAATAATGCTATGATCACAGAAAATGTTGTTAAATTATTATTATTATTTTAAAAAAAAAAAAAAAAAAAACTAAAAGTGGGATGACGTACACATATAAATCTAAAACCAAAAAAGGAAAAGTACTCAATACTTAGATTTGAATAGACCAAAATGTCCTTGTATTTAAACGGTTTTATTGAGAGAGGACCAAAAATAGTTATGCCACAATAATACTAGACCAAATGGATGTTTTTAGAAAAAATTAAAAACTAAAAGTAGGTTGATGCGTATAAATCTAGAATAAAATTAAAAATGGAATCAACTCTATATTTTTATATTCCTTAATATTTTGTATGAAGACCTATCCATACAGCAAAACCAAAAATATCTGACAAACTCCACTTTGACAATACTAATTAATAACAAGACATTGTCAATTTTTTTTTTTTTCCTTTCTACTTCTAATTTCTTGAATTTTAAATTTAATTTTCTTATAACAAGAAAGTGAGTAAATCGTGATTTTCAAAGAACAATAAAATAAATTACACAATTGTTATGATTTATGATTTTGAGACGGTATTTTCAATACTTAATAAAGTCATATCATTTTTCTTCCAGTTAACTACTACTTTTAATTTCAATTTGGCTTTAAAATCACTATTCAAAAAGTAATATCCAAAGAGCTAGAAAAAAAATAATGGAAACATCTTAAACATTTTACTAATAATTAGCATAGCCTCTAAAAGTTATACTTAATCTTGATGAATGATGATGTAGAAGAGGTAGAGGAAGATGGCGGATTACAACATACAGAAGATAGAGGTGGAGATGATGCAATGGTGGCAAAAAACAATAATAGAGGTACTTTATTCCATATTATGTTATTAGGAATATATACTCTTTAATATTTTATACAAACACATATCTCATGCATACATCAAAATATAAGTGTAAATAATAATTATTACATAATAGCATTTTTTAAAAATAAAAAGACTAAATGATGTAAATAATAATTATTACATAATAGCATTTAAAAAAATAAAAAAACTAAATGATATATTGATACTAGTATTTGCCCCGTGCGATGCACGGACAAAAATTTATAAGTATTGTTGTAATGTTATGATACAAAGCAGAATTAATTTTATTAAAAATGCAAGTATAGTTATACATTGTAATATTTAAATGTTAAGACAATAAATATGACAGAAAATGCATTCATATTGCTAATCTCATTTGCAATAATGATCTTACAAAGTTAAACAGTCAGAGAAAGATCCGGACCACCTCGTGGTTTACACAAAAAAATAATGATCTAACAAATCTATTAATATGCATTCACACTTAGGCGGGAAAATTTATTCCCTACTTAAACAATGGAATATAATTTATATCATATTCCTTATTTATTTTAGGCTACTTCCAAGCTTTTTCAATTTAAATTAGTCTATTTCGAGAATCAATTTCTCACTTACCCATTATTCGTTTTGAGCGTGTAGTATTTGTACCACAAAATAGCCACTTAAAATTGACGTTTTAGCTAAAATTTCCAACTTCCACACATGGTTATTGTCCTCTAGGATAGTGTTCAAGTTGCAATGTCAGAGCATAATGATTCAGGTGCTATATTCTTACACTATCATTTTAATTTTTCTATATTATAGAAATACTCTTTAATATAATTGAAGGGTGAATTCTAGTTCAGTTAAAATATGAGTTAAATGACACATTGATATATTTTTTTGTTGGTATACCAAATTGAAAGGTTTTTCATCTCAATTTAAAGTTTTACGTAGTAATTTATGTAACACTACACATTTATTACGGAGTATTTTATATATTTTATGCTCAAAATATATCAACTACCAATAATAAATGAATAAATCCAATGGTCTATTATAAAAATAAAAATAAAAAAAGATTTTTTTTTGCACATTATTTAAAACAAGTGTGTGCTGAAATAGTGAAATTATAGCCATCTTATTTTGCATTTGATAATTTCCACGTGCACTAATTTTTGTTCTTTTATTTGAGTAATGAATATTAACTCTTTATGATGTTTAAATAACAATAATTATTATGATAGTTATTATTAAAAGAAAATAAATTTTTTTAGTTGATGTGAAAGTGAGACCACATTTGAAAGAGGGGAGAAAATTGCATGAATGGTGAATAATTATAAATTTAGTGACATGACATTTTAAAACTGATAGAAGATGCATGGGTGAAGATAGCCTTATACAAAGCAATGCCCAAGAGAAAAAATAATTCGAACATGTTAAACAATTCTCAAAAGAATAGGACTAGTTAGGTACGTTAAAAAGTTATATTTAATCTTGATGATGTTGAATTTGAAGAAAATAGTGATGAATTACAACCTACAGAACATGAGGCTGCAATGGCAGAACATAGTGCTAAATCGCCTATTGAAGCAAGGCTTTGTAAAACTGTATTTGAGGCACCTAAAGTCCAGACTACTGAGAAGAGAAAAGCTCATACATTATCATCAGGTACCCATACTTCAATGTACCCAAATTATTCTGAACCATATTATTTTTCAATGTACCCAAAGGTAAAGGTTGTCGCGTTTCAAAATAAGCTTGTAGCTGTTTAACTTCTTTTTTTTTTTTTCCATATTTATCGATATTATTTTAAATAAATGACATCATTTACCTTTTCCAATTAAAATTAAAATCTTGGTAAAAACAGAGATTTATGCAAAAGGAAAGAAAAAAAAATTAATATATATCTATTATCTATTATCTATTATATATTATAAAAATAAAAACTTTTTTACTTTTATTTTAATTTAATATATATCTCCTATATATTATAAAAACAAAACTTTTTTTATAAATTAAATATATCTCAAATATTTAAAATATAAAAATAATATAATAATCACATCATTTAAATTTTATGAACATGTCCTTTTTTGTCTTTTCATATTTATCAGTTTATCAAAAAGTTAATTTTACCAAACACTTTTAAACATAATCAGCTAGTTAATATCATACAAAATAATTCTATGTTTTGAGAAAACATAACCTACTAATTTCAAAACTAAAAAAGATGCAAAATATTTTCTATCAAGATGTAGCTCAACGTAGACCATAATTCTCATAGAACAATGGGTTACACAATTTTTTTTTTTTTTTTTTTTTGGGTGCAACTGTGATTTTGAGATAGAATTTCCAATACTTAATAAATTAATTAAAGCCATACCATTTTTCTTCTAATTAATTTCTTTAATGCATGGTCATATATATATATATATATATATATATATATATATATATATATATATATATATATATATATATATATATATATATATATATATATATATATATATATATATGTGCGTGTGTGTGTGTGCCTATAATTTTTTTCTCATAAAAAAAATTGAATATATATCAAAGGAAAAGAAGGTGAAGATGAGGAAATGGGTGAATCACTTGATGGTGACGAAGATGTTGGAGAGTATGAAGCAAAAGAAAGTAATGCAGTTGAAGTTGCAATGTCAGAACATAATGATTCAGGTAACTTATTCTTACACTATCATTTTAATTATTCTATACTATATTAATACTGAGATATACTCTTTAATAATAATACATGAATATATTCTTTTGTTTGTATATTAAATCGAAAGGTGTTTCATTTCAATTAAAAGTTTTAACTTATATAACTCTACGCATTTATTATTTTATACTCGGTATATTTTATGTTCAAAATATATCAACCACCCAAAAATCCAATGGCATTTTTTTTTCATTTTTATTTTTATTTTTAATTTTAATTTATTTAAAAATTTTAAAATATATATATTTTAAAAAATTTCTACATGGCACTCGGTAACTAAGTAGCAAAAGGTTTTATTGAATCATTGGACAAATTGCACGAAATTGGTTAATTTAAGGATTCAATTGCATTTTTTAAAAAGTTAGTGCACAACTACATTATCGCGTGCAGTTCGATGACCTATTTGATCATTTTTTTAATAACCGTATTTAATAGTTTTACACTATTTTTTTAATCTTAAACACATATTGATAAAGAGTTAATCACCATTTTGGTAAACACATATTTTTTTTACTAATTTACAATAAGCATTTTCTAAAGAGTTAATCACGGTACCATTTTGGTCCCTCAATTGTTTCCTAACTGTTACTATAGTCCATAGTTTTCAATTTCAACCAATTTGATACTTGAATTATTTAAATTCATCAATTAACCTTTCCAAGGACCAATATGACATAATATTGTAATGCACAATCAACCATTACTACCTAAGTCATGCATAAATCTTAATTAGAGTAAATAATATGCCATATTATTCATGCATAAATCTTAATTATTAGAGTAAATAATATATTAAAATAATTAATATTAAATTGACGTGATAATTTTAACAAATTAAATGGATCACGTTAAATAAGTCAATATGTTAATAACATGAGCCATTTTAAAGATTAACCGTACCATTAACCCTTTATTTTCGACTCTACGTAAAGTTAACCAAAACTATTATTATTTGTTGATTAAGTATTACTATTTCGACTTTGAAAATATAAATTTGACTCTACCTGACATTGCTTAGTTGGAATATACAATATATTATCTTAAAAAGTACACCTCAACATCGGCAACAACTATCACATAAACCAATTGTGTTTTTATAATCTTTTAAAAAGTTGTTAAAATAATTGTAGTTTTAACTATTGTAATTAAAATATAAGGGAAATAAAAACCTCGATATAAATTCAATAAAATTAAATGAATATATAATTATACAAGTTAGTTCAAAGCTAAAATAGATGCAAAATATTTTTTATAAAATCTTATTAATCAAAAGCTATCTAACTCTATTACTATACAAAACATAAAACATGGATATTTATGTTATTTTAATACTTATTCTAGTTTTATCATTTAAACCAACCAAACATTATAATATATATAATTCATGAAGTCTATTTTTTATTTTTAGTGAATTAAACAATGGAATATAATTTATATCATATTCCTTATTTATTTTAGGCTACTTCCAAGCTTTTCCAATTTAAATTAGTATATTATAGTAATACTCTTTAATATAATTGAAGGATGAATTTCAGTTCAATTAAAATATGAGTTAAATAACACATTGATATATTCTTTTGTTGGTATACCAAATTGAAAGGTTTTTCATCTCAATTAAAAGTTTTAATTTATGTAACACTACACATTTATTACGGAGTATTGTATATATTTTATGCTCAAAATATATCAATTACCAATAATAATGAATAAATCCAATGGTCTATTATTAAAAAAAAAAAGATTTTTTTTTTTTTTTTGCACCTTATTAAAAACAAGTGCGTGCTGAAATAGTGAAATTATAGCCATATTATTTTGCATTTGATAATTTCCACATGCACTGTAACTAACTTTTGTTCTTTTATTTGAGTAATAATGAATATTAACTCTTTCTGATGTTTAAATAATCATAATTATTATTATGATAGTTATTATTAAAAGAAAATAATTTTTTTTTAGTTGATGTGAAAGTGAGAGTACTTTTGAAAGAGGGGGGAGAACGGTATGGATGGTGAATAAATAGAGAATAATTACAAATTTAGTGACATGACATTTTAAAACTGATAGAAGATTGCATGGGTGAAGATAGCCTTATACAAAGCAATGCCCAAGAGAAAAAATAATTCAAACATGTTAAACATTTCTCCAAAGTATAGGACTAGTTAGGTACGTTAAAAAGTTATATTTAATCTTGATGATGTTGAATTTGAAGAAAATAGTGATGAATTACAACCTACAGAACATGAGGCTGCAATGGCAGAACGTAGTGCTAAATCGCCTATTGAAGCAAGGCTTTGTAAAACTGTATTTGAGGCACCTAAAGTCCAGACTACTGAGAAGAGAAAAGCTCATACATTATCATCAGGTACCCATGCTTCAATGTACCCATATTATTCTGAACCATATTATAGATACTTTATGCTCTTTTAACATTTATTTTTTTAGTACTATTGACTTTGTTATAATGTAATATTTGTTCATAGCTATTTTCTTTCTCATGAGCTCCCATCAGGGAGAGCCACTTCCTGCCATTAGACTACAAGGTCATTGGCACTCTTTAACATTTCCTAATTATGCCTATTCAATAAGAAAAACACAAAAATATAATGCCCTTGTTACTAATGTATAATTACGGAATAACAATTTTAATTTTAATATATAGAAGACAATGCTATTCCAGTATGCTATTATACGCGAATTCTTTAAAATGTCTTTTACTACAATGTCTAGTAGCTTTCTACAAAAGGAAAGAGGGTGACATTTTTATCATATCAGATCAACGAGGTTAGAAAAAGAAGTAAAAATTACAAAAATGCATCTCAATTTTATTTTATGGAAATAAAAATTGTAGTCAAAGGTATATAAAAAGTGCAATGATGAGCAAAGAGAAATTATTTTGCTGTTTTCTTGTAGTGAATGAAGAAGAAGAGGAGGAGGATAAGCAAAGAAAGAAGGCTCATCTCGATAATAAGGTTCGTTGTACTTATGTTCCTTTCACCTTTAAAGATCTCCCATATTCCTTTGGTTAATTATTTATGATTGAAATTTGAATTGGACATGTTTATGGATATTCAATAAATGGTATCTTTATACAAAAAAATTTCGCTTACTTTTATTTTAAGTGTTTATGCGATGATGGCTCGATATATTTAATGTGCTCGACGAATGGCTATTTGAATACTTTGAAATGTGAACTTGATGTGATTGTGTAGCTTGTTTAATTTTTCTTGCCTATGCAGCTTGTTACTTAATTACCTTTTAAGTGTTGCTATATATGAATTAAATATTTGTGTTTGCAGGAAGATAAAATAATAAATTCAGGAAACCAAAATAAAGGAAAGAATGAGCAACATGATGGGAGTGGTGAGCTATTGGCTAACAATGTACAACCTCTGTTTGTTGATGATGATGCCTTCCAGCGTTTAGGGAACGATTGCAAACAACTATACAATTTGCTAAGACTGACTCCCAATATGGAGTGCATTGACGTGGAGTTAGATGCTAATATCTTCCACCATACCAACATGGAATGCATTTTTGTGATGATAGAAGACATTAAAGACTTGTTCACAATGAATTAGCTTGATATATCTATAATACAAGTCTTTATAATGTAAGTTTTCACATTTTATCAATTTAAAACTTCGAAGTGTTTTTGAATTTCTTATTTAATGTTTTTTAGGTATCTTTATCGGTTGTGCAAGGAATGTGAAGTTAGCTCAATCGGGTTTATGTGTCCGACACAAATAGCAAAAGCAAATGTTGACATGGATCTCAATGCTGTTATGGAATATCTTCGTAATACCATGTCCAAACTTCAAGATAAGACATTCATTTTAGCACCGTATCATCAAGTGTACGAAATTTTTTTTCTTCTTTATTTATATAACTTATTTTGAATTATTTGTAATTAAAAGTGTAATATACATGTTTATAAATTGCAGAAATCATTGGTTGTTGCTAGTGATTTGTACTAGTTCAAGAATGGTATATGTCTTAGATCCTATGCAATGTGATCGTGACCTAGAAATCAAGCCTGTGTTGAATATGTAAGTAAAACTGTCTCTGTGTGTATAAGTATTTTATAGTATGTTTGTTACGAGTATGATATCTATTAATCAGTAAATTGTTTATGTACATTAATGGCTTAACGCTATAGGGTATTCCGGACTTCTACGAATCAACGGGGAATAAGAGCAAGATCCAGTGTCAATTGGAAGAATATTAAGGTATAAAAATAAGAATTACATAAAATTTTTAGTTAATTAATTGTTTAGATCACGCTAATAATATTATATATATACACTTTGTAGTGTCCTCGTCAACCAGGAAATTCTGAGTGTGGATACTATGTTATGAGGTATATGTATGACCTATGCAGAAAATATTTTGCCAACACTTTGTTGGATGAGGTACACAAGAAGTGATAGAAACTAAGTATTTAAAAAAAAATCTTTTTGTTTAATTTAGAGTTTATTAATGATTACTAATTATTCATTCAAAATTTTTGTAGGCATTTCAAGAAACTAAAGCGTATTCCGATAAGGAAATAGACGAGATACGCAACATGTGGGCAAAACATTTTCTAAATGAGTGTGTATAAGCTATTAGCTGGCTTGTTTTTTTTTTTTTTTTGAAAACTATTAGCTGGCTTGTTAGTTGGTGGTCTTTGGAGAATATTTGCCTTATCTTTTAAATTACTTTCAAAGGGATGAAAATTTTGAAGATGCTCATATTTGGTACGGTGGTCGTAAGAATGATTTTCGTGTCGTGGATAATGATCTTCCTAGCAGTTTGAGGTGGCTTCAATTTGAATTCTATCATTTCACTTCATTACCACAAAACTTTGAATCATCGAAGCTTGTTTGTCTTTCTTTGCGGAATGGTTCTCTACAAATTTGCAGGATCACTCTGGTATATTATTCTAATCTGACTAGATACATATATGGTGTGCCTTTTTTTTTCCATCAAAGACTTTAGACTTGTTCTATATATGCTCCATCTTTTCTTTCAGAAATTAGACAAATTTATCTTTTCGGATCTTAGCTCTTCCAAATCTTTTTTAGAAACCCCCATTTTGATTGGATGGCAAATTTGTCGAAATTAAACCTTGGAGGCTGTGAGAATTTAAAAGTGGTCTACTCATCTATTGAAAATCTTAGGATCAGATTGAAGTTTGTTTTATTGAATGGCAGAGAATAGTATAATGTTATACATGCAGCATTGTCTGAAGATCAACCTGCTTTCACTATGTTATGAGGTATATGTATGACATATGCAAAAAATATTTTGCCAACACTTTGTTGGATGAGGTATGCAAGACGTGATAGAAACTAAGTATTTTTTTTTTTAAAAAAAATCTTTTTGTTTAATTTAGAGTTTATTAACGATTACTAATTATTCATTCAAAATTTTTGTAGGCATTTCAAGAAACTAAAGCGTATTCCGATAAGGAAATAGACGAGATACGCAACATTTGGGCAAAACATTTTCTAAATGAGTGTGTATAGTTTGAATACAAGTTATGATAAACACATAGAAGTTATTAGCTGGCTTGTGTCTTTTTTTTTTTTTTTTTTTGAAAACTATTAGCTGGCTGGTTAGTTGGTGGTCTTTTAAGAATATTTGCCTTATCTTTTAAATTACTTTCAAAGGGATGAAAATTTTGAGGATGGTCATATTTGGTGGTCGTAAGAATGTTCTTGTTCTATATATGCTCCATCTTTTCTTTCAGAAATTAGACAAATTTATCTTTTTGGATCTTAGCTCTTCCAAATCTTTTTTAGAAACCCCCATTTTGATTGGATGCCAAATTTGACGAAATTAAACCTTGGAGGCTGTGAGAATTTAAAAGTGGTCTACTCATCTATTGAAAATCTTAGGATCAGATTGAAGTTTGTTTTATTGAATGGCAGAGAATAGTATAATGTTATACATGCAGCATTGTCTGAAGATCAACCTGCTTTCACTCACCCTAATCCAATTATTATTGGGGAAGAAATACAAAGTGACCACAATTATCATACTGATAATGAAGAATATTATGAAACTACAACATCACAACAAGAACCGGGTAAATATATCTTTATAAATAACAATTATTATACCCCTTCATACTATCCTAATGTTCTATACTACGTTATAGATCCTTCATACTTTTATTGCCTACACGGAATGAGGAAGATGCAACAAGCAATCTACAATCAGTTGCGAGAAATAGCCCCAGATGATTTTGATGTTCAAAAATGGGGGCTGCCAAACGAACTACCTGATACTGAATCACAAAACGAAGCAGCTGGCAGCTCAATGCAAGGACCTGGTAGCTAGTCAACTTGAGCTAGGTACTGGGGAAGCAGAACAGAGTGAACCAAATCCTACTAATGAAGATTGTGAAGCTGAAGTTCATTCAAATATATGTGCACTCATACGGTGTTTTTGGAAATGCGGCTGATGAGTGGTTTTTGGAAACATGGTAAGTGTTTTACTAGTGGCATTGCAATTTGAGTGGTATTGGAATGTGTTGGCTTTGATTTTGTTCATTTTGTGGTCTCGATTTTGCAGGATAATGCTAGTGTCTTTTGAGGCGAGTTTGGAGTACGTTGGCTGTATTTTTGGTATGGAATTTGCAGGGTGTTTTGCCCTCAAGTGTGGTTGAAATTGCAGTTGGTATAATTGTGTGTTAATATCAGTGTTTTTGAAGTGTGTTGGTAGTATTTTTACAGTGGACTTTCTAGCATATGTGATATCTTCCACCATTTCTTTTAATTCAAAGGTCTCGAGTGAATTTTCAAACACACACACACAAAAAAAAAAAGGGTCTCTATGGCCCTTAGCTTGATCAGCTGGAAAAATGTTATGATTTTACTAGAGGAAGAACATATTCATGTTGCATGCCGTCAACTTTTTCCAAAATAAAATTGTAAGTGGGTCCTTATCATATTATGCACTAAGGACTCCTTTAGTTCATGGAATAATAGATTAGCATATAGAATATTAAATTATTGTAAATGTCAAAATTTCCTGTTTAATTAAAATTGTGGTATGTAATATAAACATATTTGGTTGAAGGGTTATTTTTTTTTAAGTATAGTAGTTATTTTAATTTAATACTAGTACTATATTTTCATGTATTTTTATAAATTTCAAAATTAAGGTTACAAACGTCAAAGATAAAGTAAAATTGACATTGTTAGAAGATGAAACAATAGTTAAAATGGCAAAATGAATAAAAAGAGTAATGAGATTTAAGATTATCTAAGAGATGAAAGTGCTGAGATTAACAAGAACAAGAAAAATAATAATGGCAGTAAAGGGTAAAGAAGACAAGATTTACGTGGTTCGGCAAAGTGCCTACATCCACGGGAGTGAAACAAATGGTGATAGTGATGACACAACCCCTTAGGGATACAACCAATATATTTATAGGCATCTAATCCCTGTACAAAGGGTCTATCCGTTTCACTCCTACTCCTAGTATGAGACAAACCCATATTCCTAATCCATATATGAGACAAACTCAACAATCTCCACCTTGGCGAATATGCTCTTTAGGAGAAAAGATAACTCAACAAATCCCCACCTTGACGAATATGCTCTTTAGGAGAAAAAACTTATCTCACCATCTCCACCTTCACATATATGCCATTTAGGAGAAAAGACTATCTCCACCTTCACAAATATGCCCTTTAGGAGAAAAAGATAACTCAACAAATTTCCACCTTGACGAATATTCTCTTTAGGAGAAAAGACTTATCTCACCATCTCCACCTTCACATATATGCCTTTAGGAGAAAAGACTATCTCCACCTTCGCAAATATGTCCTTGGTTCAGCAATGTGCCTACATCCACGGGAGTAAAAGTATTATCTTATTATTTGTGATGGTGATCTATGTGATGAGATACATTCAATATATTTATAGGCATATAATCTCCCTTTCACTCTTATTCCTTATATGAGACAAACTCATATTCCTAATCAATATATGAGACAAACTCAACAGAAAGGTTATTACATTTCCTTCAAAATGAGTAAAAAGAAAACTTGAATCAAACATAAAAATGTTATTATATATATATATATATATATATATATATATATATATATATATATATATATATAACCAATATAATTAACATTTGTTATTTTAAATAACTTAAACCAGACACCCCTACAAGAAAAATTATAGTAAGATTTATTCTTTCAATTTTCAAATTAGAGTGGTTAAATGAAATTTTGAAGATTAATTGGAGACCGGAGAGATAATGGAAGCAACAAAATTTATGCTGAGTTAACTATAAGATATCTTGTTAAACAAACTCAAGAATAAATTTGTGATTTGATCCTTAATGTTTGAGCGATAGTATTTAGGAGTACAATTTCAGGTTTTTACTTTCTATTTTTTTTTTTTTTTATAACTATGTATCATGTTTTAATTTATTTAAAAAACAAAGTTAAACACTATTATTATTCATTTATTTTTCTTTACTTAATAAAATGTATATATGTGATATGAGTATATCATTTTTCAATAATAATGGAATCTTCAATTTGGACCCAATTTTCACAGAGTAATCATGTGAGAGTTGTTTCTCTCTCCACAGAATTATCTACTTTTTATAAAGGAAACATCAATTATTCCATCCACTTTATGTTGGGGTGGGACTGAGATGTCAACTCGAAGCTGCTATGAAATTTCAAGGATGGACTCGGATGACTTATTGTACTCTTAAGATCGGTTTAGAAATTCGAAAAATGACTTTTAAATTTTTTTTTCTGAGTTTTCAGTGTTTGGATATAGTAGAAAAATTCATTCAACAAAAAACATTTTTCATTAACAAGAAAATGTAAACATTTTTGTGAAAAATGACTTACGCCAAATTTTGATGTAAGTCATTTTTCGCCAACACTCAAAACATAGTTGCATTTGCTGCCATGGTTGCCTTTGATTCCTCAATTTTCATCCATTCTTCTATTTTTCAGAATACAACCAAACACTGAAAATGAAAATATTTTTTAAAAAATGAGTAAACATTTTCCAGTAGTCTGTCCTTTTGTTTTCTAATTAAGTAGTGGTCCTAGTTGACAATTGTCTTTTATGAATTATTGCTTCAACTTTTGAGGTGGAGTGGCGCCTACCCATGTGACCCAATTCCATAGAAATTTAATTTGGGTGTTGACTACTGAGACGACTTAAGCAATTCAAGTATGGCTATATGTATTCTTAACTCCGATCCGATACCTTAGTTTGTTGTTCGTATGCTTTTGATTCTTCTTCACTCTACCTAATTACTTCCCTCAGCTTTATGTTTCTGAGGAACCCAATATAATTTCCGGCCATATCAAATAAATCTATGGCTTGATGGCTTCTACCTCTTCTACTCCTCCCCGCACAATAAATTATGATGTTTTCTTGAGTTTTAGAGGTACAGATACTCGGAAGACTTTTGTGGATCACCTTTACAACAAATTACTAGAAAAACGAATTCGCACTTTCAAAGACGATGAGGAATTGGAGAAAGGACAACGTATTGAGAAGTTGCTACAAACTATTAAAGAATCAAGATTTGCAGTTGTTGTATTCTCCAAAGACTATGCATCAGCCAAATGGTGTTTGGAAGAAATTGCAACAATCATGGAATGCCAACAACAGTACGGCCAGGAAATTATGATACCCATTTTCTATGATGTGGAGCCTTCAGTTGTGCGCTATCAAACAGAAAGTTTTGGTGAATCATTTAAGAGACATGAAGAAAAGAATACAGAGAAGGCGAAGGTGAAAAGATGGAAGGAAGCGTTGAAAAAGGGTGGCGAAATCTCAGGGTATCATCTGCAGAATGACTTCAATGGGTATATATGCTTTCGATCTAACTTCTTCTTCCTCTGTTCCTTCATTTTTACACATGTCGTATGCTTTAGTTTTTTACTATTAAAGTTTTATTTATTTATTTAATGCGAGTAGTGTTACTATCTAGTTTTTAAGAAAGAAGAAGTAGTAAAAATAGTATGTTGTCCATTCCTATTACAATTTACAGACTTTAAGGTCATATCATTATCAAAATGTGCAATTAAACACATCAACTCACGATTTTAGCGTTTTTCACCCCGTTAGCTGGTTACTCCTTCGGTAATCTTGAAGTGATGGGTTTAATTGTGACATCTCATGATCATTTTAAACTCGGGGTTTTTAAAGAATTAGGACCACAAATGGTTATTTTTTAAAACACGGAGAACCATTGGAAGTTTGGAGGTATTAACTCTTTAAAAACAAATTTGGACGCATGTATACTAACAGATTGCATTTGAGAGTATCATGTGAGAGAGACTAAATTAACAATATAATATCTAAACAATTGGGGATCAATAGTGTTTATATTTAAAGATACGGACCAAATTTTATAAAAAGTAATAATTGAGAAATTAAAAATGCATTCTACCACATTCATTGAGAATTGAAGAACACCTATGTACAACTTCTTTGATGAAGTATGGAAATTTTACATTGATGTCTCATGGCTTTGGTGAATATAGAGGGATCTGTCCCATAATCTGAGTAGCATTGCTTGAATTCTATTAAGGCTAGCTGAGTATTCAATTGCATGTTTCAATTATTTAATTTGTGTTCAATATTGTCAGGTTTGAAGGAAAATGTGTCGAAAAAGTTACTCACGACATATTTAATCGAGTGAATCTTTGCACTCAAGCCTCCTCAACTGTCCTTAAAGACAATTTCGTGGGTTTGGAAACTAGGGTTGGCTATGTGGGTAACTTGTTGACACTGGAACCTGATGATGTTCAATTCATTGGGATTTGGGGTATGGGAGGTATTGGCAAGACAACAACTGCAAGGGCGGTCTTTAAGAAATTTTCAAGTCAATTTGATGGAGCTTGTTTTCTTGCCGATATTAGACAACATAAAATCATTCAATTGCAAAAGACCCTTTTAGAAACAATACAAAATGTGAAGATGGAAATAAGCGATGAGTTTGATGGAATGGAGAAGATACAGAGATGGCTTGGAACGAAAAAGGTTTTGATTGTTCTTGATGATGTAGACCATGTGGAACAATTACAGAATTTAGCCGGATATTGTAATTGGTTTGGTAGGGGTAGTAGAGTGATTATAACTACAAGAGATGCGGGGGTATTGCGTTCCCATGGAGTTGATGAGAAGCATATATATAAAGTAGAAACATTGGGAAATGAGGAAGCTATTCAACTGTTCTGTTTGTTTGCATTTAAAAAGGAAGCTGCACCTGGTGTCGAAGAACTCTCTGGATTAATAGTGCATTATGCTATGGGTCTTCCATTAGCTCTCAAAGTTTTGGGCTCTTATCTTTGTGGACTAGAGACTGCTGAGTGGGAAAGCACTTTAGAGAAACTCAAGGACACCCCAAATGATGATATTCATGGGAAGCTTAAGATAAGTTTTGATAGACTAGATCCCAAAAATCAAAAAATCTTTTTACATATTGCATGCTTTTTCAGATACGATAATGAAGAATATGTAAAAGAGGTGCTTAAAAGTTGTGATTTGCATCCGGTCATTGGTATGCGTGTGCTCATTGAAAGATCTCTCATATCAGTCGTGGAAGGAGAAATTGAGATGCACGATCTAATCCAAGAAATGGGTTGTCATATTGCAAGAGAGGAGAAACCTAGGAGCAGGGTATGGGAGTTTGAGGAGGATGCTGTATTATACAGAAAAATGGTAAGGCATGTATATATGTATGTATATTTCGATAGTAATTAAATGGATGTAGCTAGCTAGCTAGCAAAATTAATTAGTAGTTAATTTTTCCTAGCTAGCTAACTTAGCTTGAAGGTTTCTTTTATTTTCTTGTTTCAGGAGCTTACAGTTACTAAACACATAGAATGTATTTCACTCCCCTATAATACATATGGATTGTGGCTGCACAATTATAAGAATATTAGCAGTGCCTTTGAAGCTTTGAAGATACTCATAGGTGACCCGTCGGACATTGAAGAAGAGGAAGAAGAGGATAATAATTTTGAGCGTGATGTCAAGGATAATTATCAGCTTCCTAGCAGCTTGAGGTGGATTCAATTCCCATATTATCCTTTCCGTTCATTGCCCACAAGTTTTCATCTCTCTAGCATGGATACGAATCCATTGGAGCTTGTTGGGATTTGTCTGCAGCATAGTTATCTTGATAATTGTTGGATAACTAAGGTACGTATATGATTCTAACCTGCTCACTCACTACTGTGTTAAATTATTTTTCTACATTAATTAATTAAATAGCTTAAACTAATTATTTTATTTGATCTCCATATACTCTTGCACGCATGCATGCAGGAATTAAATAAACTTACCTATTTGGATCTTAGCTCTTCCCGTTCTTTGCTAGAGACTCCAAATTTTGATATGATGCCGAATTTGGAAAAGTTATACCTTTCACATTGTGAGAAATTAGTAGAGATTCATCCCTCTATCGGACGTCTCGAGAAGCTTATTTTATTGGATTTAAGTTCTTGCGATAACCTAAAGAAGCTTTCCAGCTTTATTCAACTTTCATCTCTTGAATTTCTCAAACTTTATGGTTGCCCATTAGACAATTTTCCAGAAATCCAGAAAAGTATTCCACTTGTAGTGGAGCTGAACTTAGAATTCATTCACATTACAGAACTCCCCACATCCATCCGGCAACTATGTGGGCTCACCAAGTTATGCTTGTTTTCGTGTAAACATCTTGTCTCTCTTTCTGATGACTTATGTGAGTTGGAAAGCCTTAAAATTCTTGAGCTTAGGTATTGTCTCCAACTAGAGTCATTGCCAGAAAACTTGGGCAACTTGTCAAAATTGGAAGAGCTCCATATATCTGACACTGCCATTTTTCAACTCCCATCTTCAATAACGCAGTTGAGCTCACTTGAATGCTTGTGTTGGGGACACAAACAAGGGTTTGGTGAAAGGCCTCTCAAATTTGTGCGTAGTGTATCAGGTTTGTGCTCATTGAAAAGGCTACAGCTCTGTGACTTTAATATCATCAACGAAGGACTCCCTTCAGATCTTGGACAATGCTTGATCTCATTGGAATATTTGAATCTTCAAGGAAGCAATTTTAGATATTTACCAGAAAGTTTCAGTCAACTCCCTCTCCTTCAATACCTTGACATCAGAGATTGTAAAAAACTTAAAGAGTTGCCACAACTCCCAAAAGCTATAAGCGAACTATATGTGGATTCTCATTTTGCCTTTGGAAATAGGTCAATCAACATAGATATGTTAGCAATCAAGAACCCCATGTTATATTCAGTCGTTGTCTCCCCTTGCCGTGGTGATCATAATTCGTTCAAAGGTGAAACTTTTTTAGCTAAGAAGAGCATTCAATTTCCATTTCACAGAAAGACTCCTTTTAGTGTTAGCTACTCAACCGATTCATCATATTATCGGATTAAGGAGGAGTATTACATTCTCTTGAGGTCATTCAAATACCGACGATACGGGTCAAATAGGATCTCCTTCAATCTCAATCATCGTTGGTATAGTACACAATTTGTGGGAATTGCTGTATTTTTTGTCTCTTCTGAAGCTGATAAATGGGGACCACACTCGTACCAAGGCTTTGATGACAGTGCTCGTCATCATTGTGTGATTAAAGCCAAACTATCATCACATAATGATATTAAAAATGAAGATCTCCAAACAAAATGTGTGATAGCCGGATCTTACAAATATTTGCACAACAGAATAGACAATTGCTTTGTGTACCTACCATTTAGTAGTTTGTGGCCTGAATCTAAACCTATGATGGGAGCAAATGATTATTCAAGATTCGAGGTGAAACTTGTGGATTTGAAAGCTTTAGCAGATTGGGGCATTAATTTATTGTATAAATGGTATATATATATATATATATATATATATATATATATATATATATTACAATTTTTCCTTTTTCTACCCCATATTATTTACCTTCCTTTTCAACTTTTTAATGCTCTGTTTTTCCACAAAAAAAAAAAAAAAAAAAAAAAAAAAAAAAAAAACTTTTAATGCTCTGTAGTAGACTAGTAGGTATACTTTATTACTCCGTACTAGATAACTTTTTTTATTTTCATTTTTTTTTTATTTTACAGATTGTTTTAGTTTTCTGTTTTATTTAGGCTAGGACTGAATCCATAACAAGCATAATTATATAATTTTTACTTCTAAATTTGCTTAATTAAAAAATGTGCTTTCAGCCCAATAGGAGCAAGGGAGCATATGGCTAATTACCATAGGAGTGATTCAGGTACTCATACATTACCCCTTTTATACTATTATATATTATTTTATTTTGTGTTATACAGCTTATACTCCGTATATATTAAGAATATTCATACTCTTTAACATTTTATATCAACACCTATGAAGTATTTAACAAATTAAAAGGAAAAAAAAAGTCCTTACAATGAACGTAACAATTATGTAGAAATTATTTTACGTAGCAATACATAAAAGAATAAATGCTACCCCTCAACCCAGTGAGCGTTATTGTAGATTCATAATTTCTATACGTTAGATTCATAATTTTTAAATAATAGATTCCTAATAATTTAAATACAGTAGATTCATAATTTATATACTGTAGATTCATAATATCTAATCTGTACTGTAGATTCATAATTTATGTACTGTAGATTCATAACTTCTAAACTGTATAGTTATCAAATTATGAACATATAGTTCTGTGATTTGTGAATAGAAAGTTTAACAATTTGATATATGAACATTGAAAATTATGAACATATAGCTCTATAATTATGAACATATATTTATAAAATTATGAACATATAGCTCTATTACATGTTCACAAACCTAATACGTAGATTCATAATTTATATATTGTAGATTCATAATTTCTATACTGTAGATTTATAATTTAAATACAATAGATTCATAATTTCTAAACTGTGCGATTACGAAGAGAGAAATGCGGTTAACGACAAGTGAAAAACAATTTTAAAAAAAAAAAAAAATTAGAATGTCGTCGTTTTCGTTGAAAAACGAAAACGACGCCGTTGTAGAAGGTGAGCGCGTTTCCAAAACATAATTTGCCTCAACCCCATTTTAATTTGTTTCATTTGATACATACACATGTTATTTAATGGTCAAATAACTCTATTTTGGACAACCCCAACCAAGAGCAACCTAAGTTATTTTGTCTCTTTGTGTTCCTTTACTTGTTAGTGTCATAATGCGGAATTTACCCGGTGCAAACTATTAGGTAATGACAGTGGGTTTTCCTCGTTACCGAAAAAAAAAAAAAAAAAACTAACAAACAAACAAAAAAAACAAAACTTTATTTATTTTTTCATATTTTTAGCAATTTCTTTTTTAATGTACAAATTTACATTTTTGTATTTTTTGACATAAATTTTAATATAGTTTATAAGTATATAAGATTTATTACTGAAAAATTAAATTGTAAATATAATAACTTGAGGAGGGAAGGAGTATTACACTATATTACTATGCTATTTTGTACATACATTTACATACACAGAAGCGCATAGATACATATGTACATATATGCATGTCTCTGATCTGTGTGTAAATTTTGTTTTGTACTGCATGAGTAAACTATTATATATATATATATATATATATATATATATATATATATATATATATATATATATATATATATAGGGAAGGGTTCAGGTGCGGTTGTGCGGTTAAATCTGAGCAGTTGATCAAATTTAGATCAACGGCTCAAATCAATGAAAATTAAAAAAAGAAAAAAAAAACGCGTGCCTGGAACAAAGAAGTATAAGCTAAGGTGCACCTTAAGTGTTAGATCTTAATCACAAACTCACGCACTTTAAGTACAAAACCCACACACATTAAGCACAACCCCACGCACATTAAGCACAAAACCCACGCACTTTAAATATTAACTCACAGACTTTAAGTTTCAACAACTACTGACATTAAGTACAAAACTCACGCACATTAAGCACAAAACCCACGCACTTTAAGTATTAACTCACAGACTTTAAGTTTCAACAACTACTCACGTTAAGCACATCTCCACGCACATTAAGCACAAACCTCACACACATTAAGCACAAACATCACGCACATTAAGCACAAAACCCACGCACTTTAAGTATTAACTCACAGACTTTAAGTTTCAACAACTACTCACGTTAAGCACATCTCCACGCACATTAAGCACAAATCTCACGCACATTAAGCACAAACATCACGCACATTAAGCACAAAACCCACGCACTTTAAGAATTAACTCACTGACTTTAAGTTTTAACAACTATTCACGTTATGCACATCCCCACGCACATTAAGCACAAAACACACGCACATTAAGCACAAAACTCACGCACATTAATCACAGATCCGCTCACCTTAATTTTGACCTAGATGCAAAAATTACAAAATTGTCACCGCGTTTTTTTAAAAAACTTTGATAATCCTGAACGTTGATTAAAGCGAGATGAATGGATCAGATTAAACCGCACAACCGCACCGGAAGCCCTCACCCGCACGAGAACCTATATATATATATATATATATATATATATATATATATATATATATATATATATATCAAGTACTCTATCTTAACCTCGTTGATACCAGGATTACTCACAACTACTGATATTGGATGCTTGACCTTGTTGGAGTCGGAGATAGAGTACTTGAATCACGGTAGCAACAATTTTGTCAGTTTACCTGCATGTTATAGCCAACTTCCTAGTCTTCAATACCTTGACATCAGTGGTCGTGGAGAACTTGAAGAGCTACCAGAACTCCCAACTACTATAAGAGAACTATATGCAAATTCTAATTTGGCTTCTGAAAGCAACTTAGTGAAGCTAGCAACCAAGTACCCAAAATTATATTCTGTCTCATTCTCTCCAGGAGATAAAGAGGTTTCTGCTGTGGAGTTAGCTAGGAAGTTTGCTCATCATCAGCCTTTTCAAATCATGAGAGACTCTTCTTTCATTGTTACCTATCCTATTGATGCATATTCAACCGATAGTGATGTCACGAAACGGTTCAAATATTCATCTCTTCGTTCAAATAAGATCTCTATTAGTCTTAAATCCTCCTGGCATAATCAAAGCTTTGTGGGATTTGTTGTGCGCTTTATTCTCAATTCATCTGATGATGGTATATGGAAATCATGCCCAGACGGTCGTCCTTTTAGATACAGTGAGGTCATAGCCCAGCTGGTACACAAAGATAATGAACAACTTATTCTCCAAACAAATTGTGTGATTGGCAGACTATGCGATGAAGATGTTGATGTATTCATGGATACACAAATCATATGCTTTGCCTACATACCATTTCTTAGTCTGTTTAACAATAAATTGAGAGCTATCCCCAGTGATTATTTGGTATTTGAGGTGGCATTTGGGGATCCTGCAATTAATGTTTCAACAGATTGGAGTTGTGGTTTGTTATATAAAAATGATGAATCATTAAGTGAAGCATTATGGAGAGAAACTATAGCTAGTTCCCATGATAATGGTGATTCAGGTACGTACTCATCATATTTCACCATGGATGCATGCATCATATACACACACACACACTTATATATACAACCACGCATACACACATTCATGCATGCATATATAAATATTCCTTTGAACTAAAGTGTATATTTTATATATTTTCATGTTAATAAAAAAAGGTTAAAATGATAAATATTACAGTATTTAATAAAATAACGCGCTCTAAATATACACATGAATCGCAGAAGAAAGTAATGAAGAAGCTCCATTGTTCGAAGAGACCCCTGTGTCCACGCCTGAGCCAGGTAAAAATACTGTTCTAATATAAATTCCCAATTACTTTATTACCCCTTCATGTATTCATATTATTCATACTACATTAACATTTTGGGATAAAGTACAAAATAATATTATTCGTATTATTACCCCAAATAAGCCATTGTGTGTGTGTGTTAAATAATAAATGTGTCTATAAATTAAAATAATCTAGTGTGTGTGTGTATAAAATCAATTACACACAAATGGAAGAATATAGATGCTTATTGATGATGAGTTTCCAATTATATTAAATGACAAAGAAAAGTGTTTTAGATGCAACATTATATTGTAACGCAAATGATTTCCATTCTCTTGGTCTTGTAACTCTTCACTAACGGGGATTTCTTACTTACTTTTCTTTATACGTTCAATGACCTCTTCTACGGACAATTTGAAGCTCACTTAGCTTGTTCCCTACGGTTATGCACCCCTTGATCAACTCTTGAATTCACTCTAACATCCTCTTCCATGCTATCCCCTGGCACAATGTTGGTTACCAAACGCCTTGTCAAAGCCCAAGTTTCTTCGCTCAACCCGTACTTGCCTTGAGACTTGACATTGCACCTTTGATCAACTTCATTCTCCCTACGGTGCTTGTCCCTACACTCACATGAGAATTTGGCCTTATATCTTTTGCAATAAAAGTGCTTTTGGCTTTGATACCTATAGTGAGGCCATTTACAAGCATGACAAATCACTTGTACGTGCATATCCTCAAACATATGCTCCTCAATAGTTTTGTTAGGGTCAATCGGATCTCTTAGTTTGGGTTCCAACCAATGCTCATACATGTGATCGGCAATGGATTTCCTCTTTGGTGAGAATGTGAGATGTAGTCATCGTTCTCATCATAGTAGCTACATGGGTAAGTGATTGCAATATATTTCTCAAACTAACAAATAATACCCAAAGTATCGGGTTATCGATCTACAGGGAAGTAGGGCGTATTAAGCACTAGCTACTTATCTATTCTTATGAAGCTAATCCTAATGATTATAATGGGTGATTGCATAAAATAAAGAAAGCAGAATAAAGTCCAGGTTTATGAAAACAAATGAGAGAACGAGATTCCTAGGATTTAAGTGTTTAATCATCTAGTGCCAATCTTAAATGCAATATTAAATATGGGTTTAAACAAGTGTGAGAATGCAAAGATGGTATAGAGTTACTCTCGTAATCTCTAACCCTAGTGAATATTCACTCCCGTGATATAAACACCCAATAATAAAAGAACAAGCATTGATAATAAATTCTTAACTACTACCCTTCCCCGATGTGCAATAATCAAGATTTAAACTTCCTAACATATATGCCCTCTCCCAAGGTGCATTAGTTAAATGCAATTGTGTGTGCTCTCAATCATGCCTAACTCCTGTTATGACATAAACAAAGCTATGAAAGAAGTAATTCGAGCCCTGAACTACTTGCAACAACAATATAATCACAATTGCAACACAAGTATAAAACCCAATACTAATATATTAAGAATCTGATAAACAAGCACATAGGTTCATAAACCCTTTTTACCCAAGAATCTCTAATGGTATTTAGGCAAGCATGGCTAAATTAAACATAGCAAATATAATAAAGAGTTTACAAGTAATCAAAGAGAGTACAAGATTGAATTAAACCAAGCGATTCTTCCAAATCTCTCTGGATTTTTTCTTGCTTTCCAAGACAACTTCTGGCTCTCAATTCTCATCTTTCTTGTTTCCCAAAAACTCTGAATGTCCTCTAGGGTTGAAAAAGGTGGGATTTTATAGTAGGACCCAAAACCTGGAGAGAATTGGAAATTTCAAGGCAAAACGGGCCAGAACTGCAGTTGGGCCATTCGCCTGCTCGACGCGTCGAGAGGGAGTGTGGTGTCGATTTTTGCGGACGCGGGCTGGGAGCTTCTCGACGCGTCGAGCCTGGTGCGACTCTTCCTCGGCACGTATTAGAAATTCTCGGCGCGTAGAGTCTGCGGAGCATCGAACGGTCTTCTTTCGGGAAATAATGGACGCGTTGAAACTTTTGTGCGTCTCTAGGTCCGTTTCGGCTCCAAACTTGTCCTAGAAGTTCCCTTGCTTTCGAACTTGACCTGCAATGGTTCCAAAACACTCATAAACGCCGTTAATCATTCAAAACAAGTGTAAATCATTCCTAAATGATATAACAAGGAATATGCCATTAAATTACCAAATTCATGAACTTAGACCCAACAAATATATATATTCAAATTAACACTAGAAAAATGCACAATTAGACTCACATCAGTAAGATTGAGAATCGTAGTTGTGGTGGGATGCACTCCTCTTATACCCCCGGTACTCATTGTCGTGATCTTATTGATCATGATATTCCTCCTCATAACCATCCCGACAATACCTAGCTGTTTGGTATTCCCTTGAATAATCATAAGAGGCGTCTCTCCTTAGTGGTTGGGCCCTCCATGAATGCTCATAACACTACAAGAAATTTCACATTTAGTGATAATAGAAGGTGTCACCAAAACTATCGATTTTGATCACTATTGAAATTAGTGACCAATTTTTGAAGTCGTCGCATGTCGTCACTATATCCTCTGTCACTATTGTAGTACTGACGACTTTTGAAAAGTTTTCACAATTAATAAGACTTTTGTGACAATGTTTACGTACACTAAAAGTAGTATGTGAGTGACATCAATAGTCGTCACAATAAATGTACATTTGGTGACGAAATATATTATTACAAAAAATTGGTCTAGTACAACTAAAATCGTTGCAATTAATTATTTTATTTTGACAACAATTTAGTCACAATACTTATACTTATTTGTGAGAATTGTTATTGACTCAAAAATGATAATCAATGACCTAAAAAGTTTTAACAAATAATTATTTTGTTGTGACAACAATCATGGTAACAAATAGTATTTATTTGTGACAAAAAGAAGTTAACTCTGAAACAATCATTGGTGTTAACTAAAACCGTAACAATACTCAAAATTAGGGATAAAACTTGCGTCACTAAAATAAGTTGAAATAGTGTCACTATTGTCAATCTTGATTTTTTTATAAGTGACCATTATTTGGTCACAAATTTTTTTTTTCAAATAATACTAACCAAACGCACACAATATATATATATATATATATATATATATATATATATATATATATATATATATATTTCAAAATCTTGTCATAATTAAATGTTTTAATTTAATTATTATCTTGAATAAAATAATTCATTCAACAAATGTTACTTATCAAATTAAAATATATATAAAAAGAGACATCATTGTCTAACAAATATATGTTGTTAGAAATACAATAGAATGCAAATAAAAACATTTTAAAATAAAATGTCTTGATTATTCTTCATTTGAGGTATTGATGGAGATACATTGCTTAGCATATTTGGAATCCTTGATTGCTTGATAAGTGAGCAAAAATTTGCTTGATTTGAACAACTTGTTTCTTTAAAGCTACCTGTGCAATATCTTTAAATTTTGTAGCGTACTTCTTCTTCCAAATTCTTTTCTGCAGTAAAATTAAAAATAAAAATAAAATAAAAATATATAAGTATACAAGATTAAATTTTTTCTAGGACTATGTGGTCTAATGGTACCCGGGTTGGACTTCCATTTGGAAGATTGTGAGTTCGAGCCTCCGCCGCTTGTCAGGCTCACAGTCATCAACAATCACCACTTCACAAGTACACCATTTCTGGTTTCTCCACCAGGTTATGACTTCTCCAAATACCTTCTTGCTGCAAAGAGGATTAACATCAACCTGCAGATCAACAAGCTTGAAAATTTCCCACTTCAGAACCTAAATTCCCAGACCATAAACTCCTCCCCAGATGAGATCTTGATAACCTAAATTCCCAGACCATAAACTCCTCCCCAGATGAGAACCTGCAGATCAACAAGCTTGAAAATTTCCCACTTCAGAACCTAAATTCCCAGACCATAAACTCCTCCCCAGATGAGATCTTGATAACCTAAATTCCCAGACCATAAACTCCTCCCCAGATGAGATCTTGATAATTTCTGCCCAGTTCAGGCTCCACAACCTGAGCCACCACTCCCCAGATGACAGGTCAGAGTTCTTGAGAGGGCTGAGGAGTTTGGGTCCAAAAGGCGTGGTTTTGAGCGAGAACAATGCAGATTGTAGCTGCAGCCATTGCGGGGACTTCGCCAATGGATTCTCCAGGAGGATGTACTTGTGGATGGAAGGAGAAACAGCAAAGACATTGAAAAATGTGGGAGAAATGAATGAGTGTAAAGAGAAATGGTGCCAGAGAATGATGAGTGTTGGGTTTGTAGGCCAAGCATTTGGAGAAGATGCAATCGACACAGCGCGAGCGTGGTTGCCGGAGTGTGGTTCCATGGAAGAGAAAGATGCCGGCGGGCTAGTGAGAAGGAAAATATTGAATAAGAAGAAGATATGGCTAGTGAGCCATGGCGACGGGCGGCGGCGGAGCGGCGCAGTGGATGTTTCTCTGGTTCGGCACCGCCAACATCGCCGTGTGATCCAAGAAATCTTTGAGCTCCACAGTCGACTGTAAAATCGTTCTCAGATCGTCGGCGCGAGAGAATCCCAAGTTTCCGGCTCTCCTCACGGCGTAGATGTAGAAAGTTATGCATCCCTTTCTGAACATGAACCGCGCCATTTCGCAGTCGCTCAGCCCTTTAATCAGCTTCTTGTGTACCTCCCCGAGCGGAATCTCCGGTGGCCACTGGCGGTCCACGGCGGCCTACATGGATTCCATCCCTACACTATATATGATGGAAGGAGAAGCAGCAAAGGCATTGACAAATGTGGGAGAAATGAATGAGTGTAAAGAGAAATGGTGCCAGAGAATGATGAGTGTTGGGTTTGTAGGCCAAGCATTTGGAGAAGATGCAATCGACACAGCGTGAGCGTGGTTGCCGGAGTGTGGTTCCATGGAAGAGAAAGATGCCGAACTCAAAGTGTGGGTTAAGCAAGTAGGAAGTGAATAAACAAATGAAATGACAAAATTGACCCTGGTAAATCGGAGGTCTAACCGGAGTGTTGCCGGAAAACGGACGGAGGGACTAAAATGACTAAAAAAAATTATTTTCGGGGACTAAATCGATGATTAAGGAATTAGAGGACTACATTCACAGTTTGGCAATAATTGAGGGACCAAATCGTTGATTAACTCTTTTAACAATTCCCTCAAGACAAAGTTGAAAATGATATTTACAACACTCTTTGTATCACCCCAAAATTTAACTTCAATTCTTGAACTTTCCATTATTATTATTATTATTATTATTATTATTATTATTATTATAGTGATTCCATTGAGAGAAAATCGCCACTTTTAAAATACTTGAGTGAGCTAATGTACTTACATTAATAATTCAGATGGAAAATATGTTATAAACATATAATTCATGGGGAAAAAGTGTCATTTTCACTTTATTTTTTTTTAGTATGAGCTAGTTAAATAAATAAATTGTAATACTTTGTTTTCGTTTCTGCTGTGAAGTGTTGTTAAGCAAAATTCCTTCATTACACAACAAGTCATATTGTATGTGCTGAATTTATTAGCAAGTTAATTGCTTTTGAAACTCCCTTCTAATTAGTTCCCTGCATGTTTTAGGGGAACCCAAATTCTTTCCATATGGCTTGATGGCTTCTACCTCTTCTGTTACTGCTTCACAATCAATCCATGAATGGACTTACGATGTTTTCTTGAATTTTAGAGGTTCAGATATTGACAAGATTTTTGTAGATTATCTTTACACTTATTTAGACTTGAAAGGAATTCACACCTTCAAGGATTACGATCAAATGGAGGAAGGAGACTGTGTCTCTCTGGCTCGACTAAAAGCTATTAAAGATTCAAGATTTTTTATCACAGTCTTCTCCAAAGGCTATGCATCGTCAAAATGCTGTTTGGAAGAACTTGCAACAATCATGGAATTCCAAGAAAAGTTCAAAGAACAAATTGTGGTGCCAATTTTTTACGACGTGGAGCCTTCAGATGTCCGGAAACAGAAAGGAAGTTTTGGAGATTCGTTCAAGGAATTGGTTGAATTTGTGAAGGATGAGGAGGAGAAGAAGGTAAGAAGATGGAAGGAAGTGTTGAAAAAAGCAGGCTATCTCAAAGGGCATCATTTACAGAAAGACTATAATCGGTTTGCTTTCAACTTCCTCTTCTCATATGATTCATCTTTATGCATACCCCTTTTTTTTTTGTGCGCGCTTAGTTTTTTATTTTATTTTTAATTTATATGCACACAGTGGTTACTACCTAGTATTAAGAAAGAAAAAAAGTCCTCATTCTCTCAATACAATTAATGATGTAACACTATATATAATATTTAAAAGGAAAAAAAAAGTTGAGGGGGGTAGATGGGAACAATCTCATTCAAGTTGCTTTTCACTTAATTAGTTAACATAATGTTACAAGTGAATAGTGTAGAACAATTTTGTTAGAATAGACGTCCATAGATATTTATTAAGAAAACAAGTGCAACTTTTTTTGATGAAGTATGGAAATTTTATATTGATCGATGTCATATATTGCTATGAAGTTGGAGTACTAAAATTTTAAAACTATTGATGTTCGATCTTTTTAGACTTGATATAAAATGTGTACAAGGAGTTGCTGCCGACATATTTGCTCGATTGAATCAATCAAATCAGACATGGTCAGCCTTTGAAAAGAACTTAGAAGGATTGAAATCTAGAGTTAACGACATTGGTAACTGGTTGAGATCGGCTGATGATGATGATGATGCTGCTAGGTTTATTGGTATTTGTGGTATGGGAGGTATCGGTAAGACAACAACTGCAATGGCGGTCTTTAATAAATTTTCGCTCCAATTTGATAGAGCTTATTTTCTTCCCAATATTAGCCGACATAACATCATTGAATTGCAAAAGGCCCTTCTAGAAGCAATACTAGAGGTGAAGATAGGAATAAGAGATGAGTTTGCTGGAATGGCGATGATAAGGAGACGGCTTAGACGGAAAAAGGTTTTGATTATTCTGGATGACGTAGGCTATGTGGAACAATTAGAGAATTTAGCAGGGGATCATGATTGGTTTGGTAGGGGTAGTAGAGTGATTATAACCACAAGAGATGCTGGAGTATTGAGTTCTCATAAAGTTGATGAAAAGTATATATACCAAATAGATACATTGGAAGAGCAGGAAGCTATTCAATTGTTTAGTTGGTATGCCTTTAAAAAGAAAATTTCTACAACTGAAATCAAAGAACTGTGTGGATCAATTGTGTATCATTGTAAGGGTCTTCCACTCGCCCTTAAATTGTTGGGGTCTTATCTTTGTGGACAAGAGGCTATTTATTGGAAAAGCACATTGGAGAAACTCAATGATACTGACACCCTTCACACCCCAATAGATAATATTCTTCGAGTGCTTAGGACAAGTTTTGATACACTAGATTGGTTAAACCAAACAACCTTTTTATATATTGCATGTTTTTTCAAACACGAGATGAAAGAATATGTAAACAATGTGCTTGATAGTTGTCGTTTGTGTGCATCCCTGCATGTGCTCATTGAAAAATCTCTGATATCAGTCGTGGAAGGAAGAATTGAGATGCACGATCTAATCCAAGATATGGGTTGGCATATTGCAAGAGAGGAGAAACCTAGGAGCATGGTATGGGAGTTTGAGGATGCTGAATTATTATACAGAAAAATGGTAAGACATATATTTCAATAGTAAGATGTAGCAAAATTAGTTAATTAAAATAATGATTATGCATGCATATATCTGTAATGTGGTTTCTTAATTAATTATTTCCTAGATTATATTACGCTGTGGTCTAATCATATTCCTTCCTAGCTAACAAATAAGCTAACTTAGCTTGAAGGTTTCTTTTTGATATTGCATTAGAAAGATTGAAGTGTGTACTATTTTTATTTCTTCAATTCTTTCAGGACCCTGAACACATAGAATGTATGGTATTCCCCTATACATACAGATGTCACCTGGACAATGATAAGAATATTTGGGGTGCCTTTAAATCTTTGAACATACTCATAGGTAAACGGTCATCGTCCAACGAAGAAGATAATAATTTTGACCGTGTCATGGATGATTATCTTCCAAGTAGCTTGAGGTGGCTTCATTTCCCAGATTATCCTTTCCCTTCATTACCAAAAAGCTTTCATTCCTCTGGCATGGATAAGAATCCCTCTCAGCTTGTTGGGGTTTATCTGCACTCTAGTTCTCTTGAAAATTGTAGGATAACTAAGGTATGGTAGATGATTCTACCCGACTCACTACTTTGTGTTCATAAATTCTTTTTCTTAATCAAATAGCTTAAACTTATTTTATTCTCCATCTTCTCTGGCAGGAATTTAACAAACTTACCTATTTGAATCTTAGCTCTTCTTGCTCTTTGCTAGAAACTCCAAATTTTGATATGCTACCGAATTTGAGAAGATTATACTTTTCAGATTGTGAGAAATTAAAAGAGATTCACCCATCTATTGGACATCTTCAGAAGCTTTTTTTATTGGATTTAAGCAATTGCCGTGAGCTAGAGAAGCTTCCCTGCTTTGTTGATTTACCCGAAAGCTTCAGCCAACTCCCTCACCTTCAGTATCTTGACATCAGAGTTTGTGGAAAACTTAAAGAGCTCCCAAAATTCCTACAAAGTACAAGAGAACTGTATGCAGATTTTCATTTTGCCTCTAGAAAAAGCATTAAGGAGTTAGCAGAGTGCCCGAAATTACATTCAGTCGCATTCTCTCATGATGATCAATATCACTGCCCGGAGAATTGTTTAGCTAAGATATTTATTCATTTTCCGTTTCATAGAAAGACTCCTTTCAGTGTTAGCTATCCAATCTATTTACGAGAGGATGAGGATCGTTATGGCTTGAGATTATTTCAATATCGATGCTATCAGTCAAATGGTATCTCTATTGATCTCAATTTCCTCTGGTATTGTCAAAGCTTTGCGGGATTTGCTGTATATTTCCTCTCTTCAGGATATAATACATGGGAACCACACTCCTACAAGGACATTGATGGTGTTGAGCATTGCACAGTCATAGCCAAATTGTCACACAAAGATGAGAGAAATGAATTTCTCCAAAGAAAATGTGTGATTGTCAGTTCAACTAATGGATATGACAACAACGGAGGACACATCTGCTTTGTCTACATACCATACCCGAAAAATAGTGTAAGCTCAAATGATTTTTCACGATTTGAGGTGAACTTTATGAACTTAGGAGCCACTGCTGATTGGGGTTGTAGTTTGATATATAAAAGGTAAACATATTGATTTTAGTTCTCCTCCATTTACCATCTTTCTTGAACTTTGTAATACTCCATACTACATAATATGATACTTTAGTAATAGTTAACTTTCCAATTTGTTTTAGTTTTCGCTTTTATTTACGTCAATGAATTCATATCAAGCATGCTTATTTAAATTATTTATTTAAGATTTAAAATCTTCAACAGATTGGAGTTTCGAATTGTTATATACCAAAAAAAAAAAAACTTATTGAGCTTGAAAACTTATATACCACAAATACTCTTTTATGTTCATTAGTTTTTATGCAGTTTTCTTTAATTTCTTTCAGTTTTATATTTTATTTAGGCTAAGAAATTATATACTCCATGTTAGAGATGTTATTATTTACATTATTATTTGTATTAGTTATGTTGACTAGTCTTTGTATTAGATTAGTTATTTATAGCTTTCCTAGTTAATAGGATTAGTTCACGCTGTGTATTTAGAATACTGTTCTGTAATCTCTATTGTGTTGGAATTGAAATTGCAATCCTTATTTCATCATCCGTATGTCTCAAGAAATGTACAAACTTTTGTTGTTCTATTAATTACTACAAATAAAAAGATGTTTATACATTGTACTTGTGCTTTTCTACAGGGAGGCCGGTTCTGGTGAAAGAGATCCAGGTACTCGTATACTTTATCCAAACTTTATACTATCATACATATTATTTTAAATTATATCACATACATTTTTAGAGTTAATTTTTTTTTTTTATCCTAGATTTATATGTGTCAGTTCACTTTGAGTTCTTTTTTTTCAAAACATTCACTTTGACTTATATGCCAATAAACCCGTTTAAGTGACATTAAATACAAAATCATTTTGGTCTATTAAGTTGTAAGTGTTAAGTCCTTTTGCTTTTTTGGTCATAAATTTATATGCGTCATTTTATTTTTAGTCTTTTTTTTCGTCCTAACATTATTGTGGCATAACGTTTAAGTCTAGTGCATAAGTTCATAAAAATTCACAAGACTTGTAGTTTGACTGATAGACAAAAAAATGGTCATACTGCAATAATACTATGACCAATGAACGAAAATGTTAAAAAAAAAAAAAAAAAAAAAAAAAAAAACTACAAGTAGAATGACACATATAAATCTAAGACCAAAAAAAGAAAAGGACTCAACACTTAGATTTGAATAGACCAAAATGTCCTTGTATTTAAATGATTTTGTTGAGAGATAGACAAAAAATAGTTATGCCACAATATAATAATGCTAGGACCAAAAGGGATATTTTGAAAAAAAAAAAAAAAAAAACTAAAAGTAGGTTAATACGTATAAATATAGACTAGACTAGAACAAAATTAAAAATGGAATCAACTCTATATTTTTATATTCCTTAATATTTTGTATGAACACCTATCAATACAGCAAAACCAAAAATATCTGACAAACTCAACTTTGAGAATACTAATTAATAACAAGTTTAACTATATCTAGCATTGTCATTTGTCAATTGTTTTTTATTTTTCCTTTCTACTTTTGATTTCTTGAATTTTAATTTAACTTTCTTATAACAAGAAAATAAGTAAATCGTGATTCTCAAAAAACAATAATAGAGTACACAGTTGTTATGATTTATGATTTTGAGACGGTGTTTTTAATACTTAATAAAGTCATATCATTTTTCCTCTAGTTAACTACTACTTTTCAATTCAAAAAGTAATATCCAAAAGAAAAAAAAATAATGGAAACATGTTAAACATTTTACTAAATAATTAGCATAGCCTCTAAAAGTTATATTTAATCTTGATGATGTAGAAGAGGTAGAGGAAGATGGCGGATCACAACATACAGAAGATAGTGGTGGAGATGATGCAGTGGTGGCAAAAAACAATAATACAGGTACTTTATTCCATACTATGTTATTAGGAATATATACTCTTTAATATTTTATACAAAGACAAACATATCCCATACAACAAAATATAAGTATAAATAATAATTATTACATAATAGCATTTTTTAAAAAATAAAATGACTAAATGATGTAAATAATAATTATTACATAATAGCATTTAAAAAATAAACAAAAAGACTAAATGATATATTGATATTACACTATTCTATTATATACATACATTTGTACTATAAAAGTATACATGGGGTGCGTGGGGTGGTTTTTTTTTTTTTTTTTTTTTTTGAAGTAATTTTAATTTATTTAAAAATTTTAAAATATATTTTAAATTTTAATATTTAAAAAAAAAATCTACGTGTCACTTGGTGATCGAGTAGCAAAAGGTTTTACCGACAAGTTGGACAAAATTGATAATTTCGCTATAGACAAAGGATCATTTTGATAATTAACTCTATAATCATTTACATACACACGAATAAAATAAGATAGACGCATATGAATGACGATGAATTTCCAATTATATGATAGAGAAAAGTGTTATAGATGTAACATTGTTAGGCAAATGATTTAGCCTCTCAGGATCATGCTAGTTTATTAAGTTCAAATTTTCACAATGAAGTTTATTTCTTTTGATCTTGGGTGAACTCTTTGTTCGTTGTGGCTACCATATCAATCTTGAATAGGAGGGTGTAAATATCAATCTATAAAATAAAATAAGTTGAATGCATTCACAATTAATGCTAGAACATAGTGCTGCAATGGCTAACACAGTGCTAAAGAGGTTTCGATGGCAAAAATGTTGTTATTTATATATGTGCGTAACAAATGCATCCGTAATTCGACGATCAACATATACCATTCATTCATAAATCTTAACTAGAGTAAATAATATATTTTTTTAAATAATATTAAATATAATGGGTTCATGCAAATATATTGAGCCATTTTAAAGATTAACTCTTTATTTTTGTGTGCAATTTCATGTCTTGTTGATCGATTTTGGTGACAATTGCTAGGTCCAGATAGAACCAAACTGTGGGAATTGACAAAAATTGTACATCAAGTTCAATATCAAGTGGTTTCCATGCCAGAGTGCTCTAACGCTAAGGTTTTTGAACTATTTTTCTCTTTATCATTTTCTTGTTGTTCATCTCTCTTACAGATAAACAATGGTGCTTTAACTAATAAATAAGGTGTATGTATAAGGTAATTAATTTTCCCTGAATTTGAACACTTGATGTTGAAATGAATTTTGTTAAGGTTTCCCGACTTCTTTATACAAATTCTGGTGTTGGCATCTTGAGACTCAGCTCAGATGGTATTCAAAAACTATGGAAATGGTCCTACAATGAACAAAATCCAAGCAGAAAGGTAGTGAATAGATTAAGAGTATTTTTTATTTTATTTTTGCTATACTATTTATGTTAATGTCTTGTATTAAATGTTTGGCAAATGAGTCTCTAAAGTTTGTGGTTTCTAAAGGCCACTGTCAATTTTGTTCCACAGAATTGGCAACCAAACAGTGGTCCTCCTATGATTAATGATGTGTCAGGTGTCAACCTAGAGGAAGTAGTTCCTTGCATAGCCCTCTCGAATGATGACTCTTATGTTGTGTCTGCTGTTGGTGGAAAGGTTTCATTGTTTAACATCATGACAAGTGAGGTATGACTAGCGAACAAGTTTAACGTACTCTTAATTATCAGTTTATCACATTTGGCTTTATAAATGACTATTTGTGTGATTTCTGTAATGTATATATATGTGATGTAGGTAACGAAAACAATCACGTCGTTGCCATCTGCATCAACTTTCTTAGCTTTTCATCCTCATGACAACAACATTATTGCAATTGGTACGGAGGAATCATCCATATATATATATGATTGGGTAAATGAGGTAAGTCTTCTATGACGTATCATATCTTTTTGCATTATGTGTATGATAATTTAACATGTATTGATTTAAATAATTTTATATATAGGACTTGATCGAACTTAGAGAGCATCGAAAACCTATCACTGGTCTAGCATTCTCTACCAAACTTAAAATGTTGGTTTCTGCAGATGCTGATACCCAGGTAAGCATATATATATATATATATATATATATATATATATAGGTCAATTAGAAAAAGAATGATAAATAACTATGGCGTGATCCCTTCAATTAACAGCACAGTACAGTGGAACATACCATGACTAGCTAATAGGGACATAGCAACAAGTTTTTTTATTGTAAATTTATGTATTCTGTCAAGAAGGTTCCAAACTGACCAAAGATTTGTGCTTTCTACTCTGTGCATACCAAAATTTATTTTAACAAAATATTAACTGGAAACCAAGTTTAGTAGATTACAACCTTTTTTTTCAGCTTTGTGTGTGGACCACTAGTTTGTGGAAAATGAGAAGATCAATTCGCATTCAGTTGCCAGATGGTGAAGTGTCTTCAAGATGTGACACACAAGTGATGTTCCATGCTGAGGAACACCACTTACTAGTTACACATGAAACGCAATTGGCAATATATGATGCATCCAAGATGGAACTCATACACCAGGTAAAATTAACATGTTTTCTCAATTTTTGAAATATGCTCATGAAGACTATATTAGGATTTAAATTTGGAGTATGCATGCTTGTTACAGTGGATCCCACGTGTTTCCCTATCTTCCCCGATCTCTTCTGCTACATACTCCTGCAACAGCCGACTAATTTATGCATCATTTATTGATGGGAACATTGGAGTGCTTGATGCCGATACCCTAAGACTGAAATGCCGTATTGTTCCATCTACTTATTTACCTCAAAACGGGTAAGAACAACTTCTCAGGTCTGGAATTCCCGGCAGCAAATACTTTGTGTCACAACTTTTGTTTAAGAATACTATTTTTTCCTTAATGAAATGTTAATTTGTTGATTAACTTGTCTATGTTATATTGTTATTGTAGAAGCGAGGATGTGTATCCACTTGTGATTGCAGCACATCCGCGGGAACCCAACCAATTTGCAGTTGGATTGACAGATGGTTCTATTGAAGTCATAGAACCATTAGAATCCCAGGGAAATTGGGAAGTATCTGTATCTTCCCCAGTTGATAATGGGAAGAAAAATGGTAGATTGGTATGGCAGGTTCTTCGTGGCACATTGGCAACCATGTGTCTTGGATTATTTGGGATGGGCATCATTCGAATTATTCAAACTAAAACTAGAAAATCAAAAATGAATTTTGATGGATATATGGCAGACGGGTCCAGAACAAATAGACCCGATGTAACAGAAAAAGGTGAACCCAACCAGCCCTAGGGCCGAGTCCAGCGCTCGACCAATCAAGGCCAGATTATGAGGTTCCAATTAAATCCATTAAATTTTAAATAAGAATAAGTTGAACTCATAATCATTGGTAGCTAGGTTCCAATGGCACGCACAAAAAATTGTTTCTGAGTGGATTTTGAAATGTGTGTATTTGATCATTAATGGACACTTATACAGTGTTTTTGCTCATTGGTTTTTGGAATGTATGTTTTTGAACTAACATTAATGTTTGAAATTGTATTTGTTTCACTCTCCAAACTTATGGAATTCCCAGTTTCATTCTTAATAATGTTATTTCACAGAATATGTTCGCTTTCAACTTCTTCTGATTCACCTTTATATACCCATTTGCTTCTATAGTTTATTACTACCTATCCTTTCATGGATATTCATTAAGATAAGAAGAACAACGTTATTAATGTATGAACAGAGCGCACAATGCTGGTAATAAAGAAGATGGTGAAACTGATCTGAAGTTGAGGAAAATCAATGTACAATTATACAATGGTGTTGGCAATATTGCTCTGTGGTTTTACAAAGTTTTGAAGACATTTAAGTGTTTTGTAGGCTCTGTTTTAGGCAAATGATGATATTGTTACAAGATTAAAACAAGTGTTATTGATCTATATTGCATACATAAACAAACTGAACAAAATCCTGCTAATGAAGATTGTGAGGCTAAAGTTCATTCAAATAAATGTGCACTCGTACGGTGTTTCTGGAAATGTTGCTGATGAGTGGTTTTACTTGGCATTCTGAGACGACATGCATGGTAAGTGTTTTACTAGTGGCATTGCAATTTGAGTGGTATTGGAATGTGTTGGCTTTGATTTTGTTCATTTTGTGGTCTCGATTTTGCAGGATTTATGTATATCTGTTCTAATTGCATTGGAAATTTGGTAGGGGCATCTAATTGAACCAAGTGGTCATGTCCCTCCCTTGGTTACTTATTCCTAAAAAAGAAAAATCATAGAAAAGCATTGGCCCTTAGCTTGATCAGGTCGGCCGGTGTAGCTTGCCTTGGTGAACTCGGTTGGAGAGTATACGAGGTATATCGAATTTGTGTGGAGAGACGAATTGAAGTAAATGCAGTCATTAAGCAATACTAAATCCACTTGGTCATTGTCCTACTGACAAAATGTATTGAGTCATTGTCCTAATTTAACATCTATTGATTTAATTAATTTTAGAGAAAAGAGTCAAATACACCCTCCAACTTTAGGTAAGAAGTCAATTAGGCCCTCAAACTTTTGAAAGGTGCACAATTAGACACATTAACATATGAATTTAGTGCATCAAGCCTCAAAACCCTAATGGTGACCTGTAATAGCAGGTCAATAATATACGGGCGAAACTCCGGCAACTTTCCGGCGAAAGCATGACCCGTAGGTCGCCGGAACGCCACCCTCAACCACCGCTCCTCCTCCCTTTGCAAGATCCATAATTTGCAAAAATCACTGGTTATTCAGTTTGAGCAGGAAATTCCTGGGGATTTAGAAGAATGAAAAGAAGAAGAAGACGTGAAATCACCTTGACGACATGCATTTGACCACCAAACATTAGCAATTAAGCACCACACTCATCTGCAATATGACTCTGAAAGTGTCCCTAATATTGTTGGCGCTGAATTCCTTAAAACTCTTGGCGCAATCACCACCCAGCAAAAGGAACGCATT